TACTACTACTACTACTACTACTCAACGACATGTCGTAGGACAGAGCGAAGAATTCCCTGCAAAATGCTGCGTAAAATGAAGTGCTGCAGAGAAGGTTCTAACAGCCCTACACGCTGAATCCGAAAACCTGCGACCACAAAATCAAGAAATGCCTCTCCGTCAGAGGATTTCACCAACACCCCCAAAGCTCAAACCTCAACAAAGAGGGATTGCCTATGCTACAATAAACAATCAATCATGTTGCAGCGAACGCCAAGAATTCAGATTTTGCCAAACCCCAGAGTTCAAGCAGATGCCTGACCCAAGCTCTAAACGGTAAGAAACAACACACCCTAAGTGATGTTGTTGAAGAACTTATTTGAAGAGATCATATGGTCTGGGAAACACTACGCCCCAAACTGAGATGTCTGATGGCAGCCCTTGTCCATACATCCGGAGAAAGTAGATGCTTGGAAAGCCCTAGCCCGAAGAATGAAATGAAAGGAGCTGTCTGCCGGGAAACCCAAAACCGCACAACCCGAAGAGATGTTGCTTGAACAAACCTTATGCAGAGCCAGAAAAGCATGTCCCTGGGGAAGATTGTTTGGAAGGCAAATGTCGCCACGGCCCCCAACATCCGGAAACCCTAGCAGGAGGAGATGCTCCGGTGCTGAAGCCTTGCCAACTTGAATCTGGGTTGGGCTGGTGCTTGAATTGTGGTTGGTTTTTTGGTTCTCGAATCGAGCCGCGCTTGATTGGACCCTGGCCGGTGCTAGAAATGTGGCACTTGCATCATCTTGCATCGTGGCTTTGGCTGCAGGCAAGCTTCAGCTTTGCTTCGTCGTGAAATTCTTCAGCCCGCAGCCACTCTGATATTCAACAGGGACGCTCAATTTGTGCCTTCTCCTGGTCATCCGCAGCCTGCACGTGCAAGGCCTTGGCGGCACAGGAGAACAAGGACGCGCGACGAAATCCGGCGCCACGCCTGCATGGCTTTCATCTTCCGGAGGCTGTCCCTTTCCTTTACCGTGGATGCCTCCACTCCACCCAGCCGAGCCGAGACGGAATCTGAGTGCGCTTATGCCGCATGCCGCAGCGTGCCTGCTGCAAGGTTTCATACTGATTTCCTTGGCACACACAGGTGACATCGTGCTGCACAGGCTCATCGACGCATAACTTTCCTGTGTTATGTACGTCTTAGAGGCACACTCAACGACTGGATCTTCTCCTGATCCTGCCGTCGCGCCTGAACAGGAAGTGATTAGCCAAACAAAGATGACCTGACCTACAGCAAGCTCGGCACCTCCTCGACTCTGGCCCGACATTCACCTCAGCAGGCACGAAGCAGAGCCACCTCTCGCACAACCCGCGAAGTTCTGCCGCGCTGCTTTGGAGGCGCGCCGCGTCCTCCTCTATCTGAGCCTTCAGCCTGTCTGAACAAGTGCCCGAAAGCCGGCACTCTCTGCATGGGCGGCTGACGATTGTAAGGATCTGACGTCGATATCCGTGTTGTCAAATCGTGAATCTCATCCTGGTATCGCAGCTGCACCCTGTTCGGCCTAGCGAGAAAGTCGATCTGCACCTGTCGCAGCTGGATGTCTCCGCGATTGATCATGACCACCTGGGCAAGGAGCGAACAAAGCGCTAACGCCTGGCAAATACAGTGACAACCACACATTCATGACATAGACGTTCCCGAAACACCGCAGATTTCACGCCTCCATGGAACCTTCGCGAGACTTCGAATCGGGCCGAGCTGTGTCTGATATTCCATCAGCCTCGGAATCGCAAACTCCGAGTACTTCCCCTTCTCTGCCATTTCTGGGACTGGGGCTGCAAGGACGAACATGGCACCGTCCCGGCCAGCTGTGGCCACCTTTGCTTAGCAACCCCACAACGCTTGGACTGTTGGGCCCCCAGTAGTTCAGCAGCAGGTGCTGAGAATCATGCGGTGTGCCCATCAGCAGAGATGCAAACTGCCGTGATGGCATCGGAATGCAAGCCGAGCGTCGCACTCCTGCCGTGTTACTAGGGTGATGCGCTTCGTCTGCAGTCAGACAGCGTCGCTTTCTTCAGGATCTTCAAGAGTAAAGAGCAAGAGTAAAGAGCAGGAGTAACGGCCAGCTCGAGACCTCTGAGGGCATGTTATTGTCTGCGCAACCCACGATAGACAGTGGCATCACATGCACACAAGTGCGAAGACAAAACATGCAAGTTCCTCAACACGACTATGCTGAAACTCAACAGCAAAGCCGGACATCTACTTGGCATGCTCCTGGAGCGTACATCGACCCGAAGTGAAAGACCGTCCTCAGGGCCCCCGTGAGGCCGCAGAATGCGATGAGTTTGCCGTTCTTGTCACCAGCAAGGATGGACACCTGACAGCGAGCTTCAACTGTCGAGGATGGAGGTGTACAAGGTTGGAAATTCGAGGTCTGCCTCACACGACTGAAACACTGCCAAGAACTCGCGCGGTGCCTCTGAGGGCCTGCTGTAGAGCTGCATAGAGCAAAGGTGCTCAGACGGATGCATGATGTAGTCCTGGCATATCAAGGCCGCAGGTTTGTCTGATGCTGGCGGCTGCGGCCAAAGCCTCGCTTTCTTGGTGCATTCCTTGGCGAAATGTCCGAAATGAGGTCTTCTCGACCTCGGCCTGACAACACAGCCGATCAACTGAGCCACAAGAATTCGAAACCCCCAATGCACCAAGGCCCTTGCCACACCAGCCCAGACAAGCCCCTCTCCAGAAGTTGCGACAGCTGCAGCTTCTCCGTGGGTGCCATACTCGTTCAACTGGGCACTCCGTGCGGCCCGCGATGCGACAGCTGCTTTGCTTGCAGCTCTCCTGAGGCTGTTGCCGAGTTCCACGTCTCTGTGCTCCACTCGCAAACCTTTCCATCCTCGCCTGTCACCATGGCCGACACCAACTTGTCAGAACGTGAAGGAACCGGCCTAGTGTGACCAAGGTTCGATCGAGAGGATCGAAAGCCATGGAGGAGACCTGACGACAGACAGAAGCGTCACCCCTGACACACTCAAACAATCCCTTGAGCGACGAAGAGTCTTCGCATGCCCGCGCCTCCCTCGGATGGCCGCGAAGGGTTGCGATTTTTCGGAAATTGCACGTGCTGAAGACCAGGATGAGCTTCGACTGGCAACGCGAGGCAGGCAAATTGAAGGAGGTCAACCACGCCAGGCTCGCCGCCAAGTTCCTTTTTTTGGCTCTCGTACGTCGCATATGGATACGTCAGCTCGCTGCCAAAAGCGTTAGTAGCGGCTTTTGCCGCCCTTGCCCTTCGACTTGCCACCCTTAGATTTTCCGTCCTTGGACTTTCCATCGGACTTCCCTTTTGATTTGCCTCCTTTGCCCTTGCCACCTTTGCCATCTCCCTTGCCCTTGTCTTTCTTGGCTCTCTTAGCCTCCTCCTCTTCCAAATCGAAGATGAGGTCTTTCTTGTCATCTGAAGTGTCCCAGTTGGGGTCCCTGGCGACAAACTTCTTGTAGAGCTCCCCTTCCATGTGAAGCCGCATCTTTTCGGCTGTGGGGGTGCAGATCTTGGTCAAAGGGCAGTAAAACTTCATCTCTCCCCATTCCTCATCCTTCGGCCGGGAGCGCTTCTTCACCGCTATGACCGGCAGAGCGGGTACCACCGGCGGTGGGGCGACCACGGGTGCGGGTCGCGCCACACGGGTCGGAAGCCGGGGATCGAGAACGTCGATCGTGGCATGCGAAAGCGGAGGCTGGTCCTCCAGTACCTGAAATCTCATGCAATGGGCAAAGTGTGGAACATCATCAAAGGAAATCATGAACACCTCCATGGGTACAGAAAGCAGCGCTTCCGGATCAGGAGCAGGTGCTTCCCTTACCAAGTCAAAGCTGGAAGGCATTTCCCCTTTCTCATGAGGGCCATACATGTCCTTCAGCCTCGCTTTCCGAGCAAGTGCCTCATGGACAAGCTGAGCCTTCAGAGGCGCTGTGTCGGCAGGAGCTTCCAGTCCCTGGACGGAGCTTTGCTCTCTCAAACCAACAAGCTCCAGGTCCGGGTGGATCTGCAATGCCACGGACAGCGGCACCTTGATCGGCCCTGTGGCCACGGTGAAGCGGAGCATCTGCATCCCTTGTAACCATTCTGGTAGTTCATTTTGCACCATTCCGAAGATTATTGGACTCAAGCTCTCCGTCTTCAGCTGATCTAAGCTGTACTTTGCTTCGGGCTGCTGCTTGCAACCTAGGAATCTCAAAAGCGGAACGAGCTCGATACCTGCAGCACCACAAGGAGAGCTCATGAGGGAAGTCTCCTCCGGCCACACAATGTGGAGATCGCTCTCGCCTTTCAGCAGGACCTTTGTCGAGCGCAGCAAATGAAAAACGAAGTGGTGGAGTCTGTACGCGTAAAGTGGTCTGTCAGAGGTACCAAGTTCCTTGGGTACCATGAAGCTCAGACCGGGCAGAATAAATATTAGCTCATCGAAGGCAGCTGTTGGGTACGCTTTCCCGACAAACAGAGGATTCTGCATGTGCTTGACCCTGCCTTTCAGGACAGGGGGAAACGGATTCGCTTCTTTGGAGGTGATGTTCTGTGTTGACAGTGCCGAGCATGCTGTAAATTCCACATCTGGATAAGCTTCTTGTAGTCCTGCGGTGTAGAGAAATGTCTCGTCGCCCAACACAAGGACTTTCCTCGAGCTCTGCACAGCTTGTGGAGCAGCTTCTGCAGTGTCTTCTGCCATCTTCTTGGGCCACCAGTGGCCTCTTGACCCAAACTGCTGCAGAGAGCGACAAACACCTCATGCTGCAACAAGAAATGCACTGCATTCTGCAATATCAACGTGACAACCCAAACTTACAACCGGATGCGGAAGTCCGACCGAGTTTGTCAATGTCCTCCAAAATTCAGGAATGAGACGGTCACTCAGCCTGTGCTGCGGCTAGCAGGTGTCCACCATGGGAGAAACGCAACAGGTGGACGTTCCTTATTCATTACAAAGTCCGTGTGCCCAAACAGATCGGCTCTTGGGATGTCTCAGAGCCTGGCTTTACGTGGAGCTCCGAGAACAGTTTCAGGCTGGCGCAGAGAACTCGCAATGCTCTGGAAAAAGGCGGTGTGCGCATGCAGCCGCAGCTTAATGACTGCCGGGCCCACTCTTTCGCCAAGATTTCCATGAAACGAATCCTTTCAACCCAGACCATGCCAATCGCTGAAGCAACTGTTTTTGTGCGACGCTGCTCCTGTCACTGAAGCTCACTGCCAGCAAGAAGCCAAAAGGGTGCAGTGCAAGACCTGCCGCGCCAAGTCAATCGTTCAGCCACCGAAACTCAAATCTCGAACTCGCCACTCTCTTCACGAAGTCACTTTGTCGCGACGGCCTGTAGGCTCCTCGGGGGCTTGCCAACCTTGCTTTCACACGCAAATGCTCCACCGAGCTTCTCGCGACTCTGGGCTTGGGCATACACAGAGCTCGCACCTGCCGGCTTCATAGTCCCAGACCTAAGTCCAGGGGGCGGCCCCTTGTAGCTCAGCAAAAGACCCCAGCGCCTCTCAAAGGCCCAGCAAGGCCCAGGCTCGGAGTGAGGCATCCTGACCTCGGGCCCAGTGCCCATAAGGCCCAGGAGTGAGGCGTCTTCCACTTCGGAGCATTATGGAACAGTATTAGGCGCATCCCTGTGTGCTCTGAACTTTCCCTGGCAGCTGGGGAGGCTGCTACAGGCCGTGACCAGGATCGCCCGGTGCACGGCCATGTCCATGCAGGTCACCGGGCCTCACTTCGACAAAGGTGAATCCGAAGGCTCCGTCGACTTGGAAGAGCTCCCGCCCCTCCCCTTCTGCCTGGATGAAATCCGCCACCCAATAGCGGGCTGTCTGCCTGGGACTGAAGTGGATTGGACTACTCGGAATAAAGCCAGAAAATGAGCTGTGAATCTTGGCCGGGCACAAGGTGGCCGTTGCAGTCTCCCACGGCTCCCAGGCGAAAGTGCGTTATGTCAGAGCTGTCGAAGCACAAAGCCACATGCACCTGCCAAACAAATCACCAAGAGGCACCAAAAAGGAAGGCCATTGAGTGCTCTTGAAGAGACTCCCAAAGCCAAAACTCAAAACTCGCCTCGTCTCGGCTACCAACGATGTCAAGCGAAGCGACAGCAGAGCCTTTGCCCGCATCAATGACGGCGGTGCATTCCTCAGAGCACCCGACATCCCGAAGTGCTCAAGCCGCGCCTTCTACTGAGTTCTTGCTGAGAAGCTTGATTACGGCTAAGGCACCCTAATGCACATGATAAATAAGTATATATATATACATATACATATATTTCTTTATTTATTGATTTATATGTACGTAACTTTGAATGAGCGAATGGATAAATTATGTGAGTGTTTGAAGGAATGACTGAACATGCAGGCCTGCATGGATGGACGGATGCATGTTTGTACGTATGTGTGCGTACATGTACGTGTACACGTATGCATGCCTCATGCATGCATGCATGCATCCGTGTATGTAGTTAGGTAGATGGGTGGGTAAGTCGGTAGGTAGGTAGGTAGCTAGCTAGGTCTGTAGGTGGGTATGTAGATAGCTAGGTAGGTTGGTAGGTAGGTGTGTGCGTGTATCTGTGCATGTAAGCATGTATGCACGTCTGCATGTATGGTGTATGCGTTTATGCATGCATGCATGCATGCTTGCATGCATGCACGCATGCGTGTATGTATTAATGGTATGTAATGTAATGTAACGTAATGCATGTATGTATGTATGTATGTATGTACGTAGGTATGTATGTCTGTATGTATGTATGTACGTATGTACGCATGTATGTACGTATGTGTATATGTATATGTATATGTATATGTATATGTATATGTACATGTACATGTATCTGCATGTATGTGTGTACATTTGTGCTTTCATATTTGTGTGCTTGTTTGTCTGTCAGGCGTAGTCGAATACATCGACAAACTATGCATGCAATTACAAACGTATGCTTATAGCCGTAATTGCAGCTATGTGTACTATAATATTATCTTACAAGTACATAGCAGTACATGTGCCGGTGCTTGTGTATCGAACCAGCTATCTGTGTAGCTATCTTTTGTCTATCTATCTATCTATCTATCTATCTATGTACCTATCTATCTACCTATCGATCTATCCATCTATCCATCCATCTTGGCTTTCCCAGATCGCGAGGCCTGGAGTGTCCAACATTCCGCGGGCTCTCGGGCGAGTTGCACCTCCCAGAAACTTGGGCTTACTTATATATATATATATGTATATAGAGGGTATAGGGTTTAGAGGGGCGTGCTCGGTATTCCCACAAAACAAAGACTGGACTTGACAGACGAAGCAGCGATCAAGCGGCGAGGTGAATGCACAGACTGCTCCACGAGACAGGTCAGACCGAAGGCTCTAACGACTAGTAGGAGGGTTTAGGGTTTAGGGTTTTGGGGCTGAGGGTTTGGGGTTTAGGGTTTTGGGGCTAAGGGTTTAGGGTTTTGGGGCTAAGGGTTTAGGGTTTAGGGTTTAGGGTTTTGGGGCTAAGGGTTTAGGGTTTAGGGTTTTGGGGCTACGGGTTTTTGGTTTATAGGGTTACCGGTTACAGAGTTACACATGTACACAGAACAAGACGACCAATTCTAATTACTAACTCTCGTGGTTGAATCATTCAGTGGCGATGACCCAGAGCTAACTCACGGAGGAGGCTTCCAACACGCGAAACCCCCAGGCTGAAACATCCGACAAGACGCCCCTCAACGCCCCGAAACCCTGCAGAACAAGCTGACATCAAGAGAAGAGCAGAGAGTGTTGAGGTCCTGCAGCTTCTGAGTAACACATCTGCAGCGCTCAGCTGCAAACGAAATAGCTCAGCAAGGAACCCTCATTGTGCATGGGCATCCGGCTTGCACACCGTGCTTCGCAATGAACGCTGGCATGCACACTGACCAGATAGTGTGCAGAGTAGGTGACGTTCGGCTATCATTCCCATCTCTGCCGGCATGAATGACACAAGACATCTTGAAAGTTTCAGAAGAAGAGGAAGCATGACAAATCAGCTGCAAAGTAGTCTGATATGTAAGAAAAGAGGAGCCCCAAATGCCAAAAAGAACAAAACAAAGAGGAGCCCCTAAACCCTAATCCCTAATCCCTATAAGCCCTAACCCTAATCCCGAAACCTCCAGGATGTCCTCTTCCAGGCCTCGCGGAGACTGTCCAAGCCGAGGATGGCATCTGCATGGCCATGAGTGAGGAGCACGGCCTCGGTTTCGGGTTCAGGATTTCGCGTTCAGGGTTCAGGATTTCGGGTTCA